TCAGAAGGACAGCCCATGAACAAGGGGCTAGTTCGGCTCAGGACACCGGCTTCTCCTCAGGGCAGTCCTCGACCTGGAGGATGCCACAGAAGTGCTTGTGTGCGTTTCCCATTTTGTCATACAGAATATTGACGTTGACATGTATTCTAAGATGGAGATTTGATAAAATCAACAACAACTGCTTTTATAAGGATGTCCTTAAGTGAGAGCACGTTTTTACCGCAGCTCGGAGTCCTGCTGGCTCGGTGTGTCACTCTCTTGAGTGGAGACATCGGCTATCGTGCCATGTGCAAGAGTCCACACGGTGAAAAAGGCCGATGATGTCTTTGTGTCATCACGAAAATAATTCTGATCTCTTAGAACCCCAGGGATCCACATAGGACACCTTGAGAGAGCATCAGCATTCCACAAAGCCAGCCTGCTGGTGAAGAATTCCAGAGTTCTGATTTTCAAGCAGATACTCATGGGAAACCCAGGTTTCTCACCCCTCCCATTGTATCCCCTGCCCCAGGATCGCCTGAAGGACCTGAACAGCCAAGCAGACAGCCTGATGACCAGCAGTGCCTTCGACACCTCCCAAGTGAAGGATAAACGGGACACCATCAACAGTCGTTTCCAGAAGATCAAGAGCATGGCAGCCTCCCGGCGAGCCAAGCTGAATGAATCACATCGCCTACACCAGTTCTTCCGGGACATGGATGATGAGGAGTCCTGGATCAAGTACGTGTCCTCAGGGCTTCACAGTCTGGGTCCTCCAGGATGCCCATTGAGCAGGCACTGGGAGCCCCAGGCTGAGTGGGGGTCCGGAGCTCCGGGCCGCCTGGCCGTGAGGTTTGGCTCTCTCCCAGAGTGTGCCAGAACCTGGCCCATGGGACACCTTGGCTTCTTCTGATGCCCATGTGTGCAGTTGTAGGGCCATCGATGGTCTCCAGATGGTAGCAGTACGTGATGATTGAGCTAGACTTTGTGTAGACCCTGCCCTGGGATCCCCGGGGAGATTAGCAAATGCCCTTCTGGAAAAGACAGCCCGATATCCTGGGCAGGATCAGTCCTTGAAGGAAGGAGAATTGTTTGTTTTTAATTCCTCCCCCATTGCAGTCAAAGGTGATACAGCATTTTGTAAACACATTTTTAAATTTTTTTTTTTTTTTTAAGATTTTATTTATATGAGAGAGAGAGAGCATGAGAGGGAGGAGAGTCAGAGGGAGAAACAGACTCCCTGCTGAGCAGGGAGCCCGATGTGGGACTCGATCCCGGGACTCCAGGATCATGACCTGAGCCGAAGGCAGTCGCTCAACCAACTGAGCCCCCCAGGCGCCCTGTAAACACATTTTTAAAGGACAAAAATCCTGTCTTCTATTCCTCACTTCCTTTTTTTTTTTTTTTTTTTAAGATTTTATTATTTGACAGAGACAGAGAGGGAACACAAGCAGGGGGAGTGGGAGAGGGAGAAGCAGGCCTCCCGCAGAGCAGGGAGCCCAATGCGGGGCTCGATCGCAGGACCCTGGGACCATGACCTGAGCCGAAGGCAGACGCTTAACGACTGAGCCACCCAGGCGCCGCTATTCCTCACTTCCTTAAAAAATTCTGTGCATATCTTTATATATTTCTACGGGTGGTGTCTGCGCATTTGGTAAAGTAGGGTTGGTAGGAGGACACCCCTAGCACCTCCTTGTTCTCCGCACACCCTGAGCCTGGTAGGTGCTTCTAGATACCTACATCGATGCTCTTTGTTTCGGAAATAGAGGCTTTTTGTTTCCAGAAGGCTGGCAGGGATTTTCGTGGCGAGATTGGTAGGTGTAGGTGAAGGACATCATGGGGTCTGGAGACCTCACAGCTCCTGAGCAAACCTGTCTGGTTGGAAGCACGGGGGTGCAGAGTACCTACCTGTGTTGTCCAGGGAGAAGAAGCTGCTGGTGAGCTCTGAGGACTACGGCCGAGACTTAACAGGCGTTCAGAACCTGAGGAAGAAGCACAAGCGGCTGGAGGCGGAACTGGCTGCCCATGAGCCGGCGATTCAGGTGAGGGGGCCGCTTGCGGCCGAGGGGGCGGCGGGGACCGATGGGCTCATGTGACGTACAGAGAAGCCCTTTGCTCTTGTTCATCCCACTGAGGTCTGCAGTGTCTGTGACCCCTTGTTCCAAACCTGGAAGAAAGAGGTGCTGGCCTCGATGCCGACGCCTTTTTCGGGCCGCATCTGGGAGCAGGTGATAGCGGTTCTTCTAATCGTTCTTGCCTGGCAGGGGGTCCTAGACACTGGGAAGAAGCTGTCTGATGACAACACCATTGGCAAGGAGGAGATTCAGCAGCGTCTGGCCCAGTTCGTGGAGCACTGGAAGGAGCTGAAGCATCTGGCCGCGGCGCGGTGAGCGGTGGGGTCAGCGCGTGTGCTGGCAGGCCCCCGTGCCGCCTCCTGGGCCCTCGTCCGGGCCGAGCCCGGTCCACGGTCGGCTGTGCCGAGCCCGTCCGCTTACGGGGATCTGAACCCAGCACTTGGTTCCAGAATTTCACGAGTGAACAACACTGTGTCTGCTTCATGTTACACAGAGGGCTCCATGGAACCAGTCACGTCCCACGTTCGTCAGGAACATTTTTAAACATGGGTTCGCTGTCGGAATTGAAATCGGAAGACACTAATGGCTGGTGTTTTGTGTGTCCTGTAACTAGGGGTCAGCGGCTGGAGGAGTCCTTGGAGTATCAGCAGTTTGTAGCCAACGTGGAAGAGGAAGAAGCCTGGATCAACGAGAAGATGACCCTGGTAGCCAGTGAGGACTACGGAGACACGCTTGCTGCTATCCAGGTCCGAGAAGCTGGCTTTGGTCGCGCTGTTCGCGTTGTTCTCCCGGCCAGCAGCCTCGGTGTCCCTGGCTGGTCGCAGGCCTCCAGCCCGCACACCGGCGACGGCGGCCCCGGTACCACGGGTCCCTGAGGTCCGCGGGGGTCCAGGGGCTGCCGCCACGGCGCACCCTCAGCATTATTGTCCTGTCGTTCTGGAGGCCGGAGGTCTGAAGTCAAGGTGCAGACAGGGCCTCGCTCTCCGAAGCTTCTAGGGGAGGCTCCTGTCCTCCAGCTTCTTGCTGGTATTCCCAGGCTTGTGGCAGCATAACCCGCAGCCTCCGCTCTTCACGCCTCTTCCCTCCGCGTCCGGGTGCCTGCGGCTTTCCCTCCGAGCCGCCTGGGTCCCGAGTTCCCTCTCAGAAGGACACAGGCCTCCCGGAGTAGGTCCCACCCCAGTGACCTCCTCTGAGCGTCTTCACTTGATTATCTCTGCATCTCCCACGTTCGTAGGTGCCAGGGGTTAGGACGTCATTCTTTTTGGGGGACACACCTCAACCTCTGCCCTTAATACACTGTGTGACCGCCCGAGAGAGCCACGATCATGTCACTGGCGGCTGGCACAGCTCCGTCCATTCCCCCCCCGCCCCGCCTCCGTCCCTCAGTGGCCCTGCCCGTTTTCATAGGCAGCATTCAAAGTGGCAGAGGCAGAAGCTTCAAGGCCTAGCCTCAGATGTCACGTGACCTCGTCCGTGCTGTGTTCTGTCGGTCGGAGTGGTCACAAGCAGCCCAGAGCTACGAGCTAGTTGAACCGCCTCCCCTCTTGCTGGGAGGAGCCACACTTTATGGTCAGATGTTCCCAGATCTGGGCCACCGGCCGTGGAGGCAGAGTTTCCATTCCCCAGAGTCTGGGTAGTCCCTGCGCCACGTTCTCAGAGTGGGTGTCCTCTTCGGCTGGTCCGGTGCTTTAGGTGGATTAGACGGAGGGAGGGATTTCCCATCCTCTGCGCGGACCCGTTCCCGGGAAGGCCACCCAGAGCCATTGTCTCTGGTCCTTGAGGTATACTGGGGACAGGGACACTTGGAAGGTCCCTTAGGAGCGGGACTTGGGGAAACCCTCTGTTGGGCTCTGTCTTAAGCTTGCACGGGGTTTATCGTTTTCTGTGTGGTCCTCCAGAGGGGAAGAGGGACACTGTGCTGATTGATTAGCAAGAGCTTACCCCCTTCAGGAAAGGCCTACCCGGGCGTCCCTTCTCAAGCTCGGCATCTGCCAGTTACTCTTGCTGCATCTGGGTTTTACCAGGTTTATAATTACCTGTCGATGTTGGTCCCTGTGGCCTCAGCCCCCAACTAGACTGGGCCGCCTGTGAGGGCGGGCGCCTTACAGCTTCGGTTCCCTCCGACCCGAGACTGGGCCTGCCCCCCGGCGCATGCCAGGCTCTCAGCCGCTGGGCCTTCTGCTCCCGCTGCAGGGCTTACTGAAGAAACATGAAGCTTTTGAGACAGACTTCACGGTACACAAGGACCGGGTGAATGACGTCTGCAGCAATGGACAGGACCTCATCAAGAAGGTGAGCCTGGCCTGCTGGTGAGACGCTCACTTCCCACACCCGACGCCCCCATGCTCGGGCCGCCGTGGCCCCACAAAGCCCATCTGCCTGGAATATTCACCCACGAAAGCTTTGCATGGAGACCGGGAAGTGGAAGCAGACTTCCACTGCTGTGTTTCATAACAAGAGAAAGATTCTGTGATTGGTTGGACGTCTTCCCCCTTCCTGAAGCCAGTTAGTGAGGTCACTGCAGCACGTACGCTTTCTGCGTGGATCAGGCAGAGAGGCATCCAGCGACACTGGTGCTCCCACAGAGCTCTTCTCTTAGGTTATTTCTCAGGTGGTACAAGCTCGTGATAGAAGTGGTTGGAAATATAAGAAAAATCCTAAGAGCCGCCCCTACATAGGATAGATCCCATTCTATCGACTTATGTGTTTCTCTACAAAGCCTGGCAGGTTTAGAGATGAATGTGTTAAAATCACAAAGTTTGGGTTTCGCTCAAGCAGCCCCTGAGCAAGAGCGCAGACAGGAGGGGTCCTGGGGCTTTCTCCCCAGCAGTGAAGTCCAGTCACCGGCATGTTGGCATTCCGGACTGAACATGGTGCTGCCATTGGTCCTCAGTCACCGCCGATCACGTAGGTGTGGTGACAGGTATTCAGTACCACAAGAAAAGCAACTTTTTAAAAGATTTTATTTATTTGACACGGAGAGAGCAGGAGTGGTGGGGAGGGGCAGAGGGAGAGGGAGAAGCAGACTCCCCACTGAGCATCGATCCCAGGACCCTGGGATCATTACCTGAGCCGAAGGCAGACGGTTAACTGACTGAGCCACCCAGGTGTCCCCAAGACAAGCAACTTTTTTTTTTTTTTAAGGTTTTATTTATTTATTTGACAGCACAAGCAGGGGGAGTGGGAGAGGGAGAAGCAGTCTCCCCGCTGAGCAGGGAGCCCGACGTGGGGCTCGATCCCAGGACCCTGGGATCATGACCTGAGCTGAAGGCAGACGCTTAATGACTGAGCCACCCAGGCGCCCCAACAAGCAATTTTTCACAGTGATAATTTCCTGTTGGAAATATAACTAGTAGATAAGATTTCTCATCATGGGATTTGCTCTAGTAAGCATGGCCTTGAGACTAGAGATTTGGTTCATAGGAGTTAACAAGTATGTTCAAATCCGTGTTCACTAGAGAGCTTTTTTTCCCCTTGCCCTCATGGGCAAATAAACTAACATCCAGCTGATTTCCGGTCCAGACCGTGTACCGGCAGAGATGAGGCCTGTGTCCGATCGTCACCCACATGCAGCCCTGTGTCACGGTCTCTGCTCTTTCTACCTCTGCGGTGACTGGTCTGAGTATTCTGCAGCTTTCCAACAAAGCCTGGTGCTTTACCGTCAGCAACAGTCTGTTCCTCCTCGAGTTTCTCTCTCAATTTCATGCTGCCTTGTGTGTTTTCAAATTCAGTTATTCCAAGACCGAATCCGAGTGTCTGGGGCTTAAGAATTTTCAGTGTCCGCTTTCTGACCCATTGTGTTTATTGTTTATATTAGGAGCCAGTGTTCGTATATATCACATTTTGTTTAAGTCTTAACTAACGAGTACATCATTGTGACGTTTCAGCTCATTCCTCCTATCTTCAGGATTCATTCCTATCAGTGAAATTGCCAGCATTCATCCTTTCAAGGCTTTTACTCGTGTTGCCGTTAGGAAGGCCCTACCTGTGCTTCGCCCAGCGGCGGGTGGCGGGCCGGGGGCGCAGGGTCCGCCTTCCAGCGCTGGTGCGCCTTCCCCGGCAGGGAGGCCATGGGTCATCTAGCCACGGCAGGAGGTGAGGCTGACCAGACTATGCTTTCTCTTTGTGGCCTAGAACAATCACCATGAGGAGAACATCTCTTCAAAGATGAAGGGCTTGAATGGGAAGGTGTCAGACTTGGAGAAAGCTGCCGCCCAGAGGAAGGCCAAGCTTGAGGAGAACTCGGCCTTCCTTCAGTTCAACTGGAAGGCTGACGTGGTCGAGTCCTGGATCGGTGAGCGCTGTCCCGCCCGGCCCGGCCCCAGTCTCTTCTCCCCAGGCCAGGAAGATTGTTCCAGAGCCGTAGCTCGTTTATTACCTAAGCAGTTGGTCTTCTCCAGAGAAGAAACGGATCTAACGTGGGCATTTCAGAGAACGAGAAACCATGTCCTGCGGCCAAGAGTGGGGGCCCCCATGGTGCCCGGCACTGGGCCAGCACCAGGGTTAACAAAACAAAAATCTTTAAACCCCGGAAGAAGTCAGCATCACGAGCTGTCTCCTGGCTGCCCAGGGCGCGGTCTGGCTCCCGAGCGAGGGGGAGCTACACTCTGATTTTGGGACCCCTCTGGCCCTGGTGATTGCTGTCACATGCATGGCAGTTGAACCACAGCTGGGATGAGCTGGAAGGATCTCTTTCTGTCACAGCTAGCCAAGGGGGCCCGGGCTGCAGGGAGGAAAGAGTAGCCCACATGGGGTCAGAGCCTGCTGGTAGAGTCTGGGATGTAAACGTCAGCAGGGTGATAGGCTGCCCGGGAGGCCCTCTTGAATACTGAGGACAAAGGGGACTCTTAATTCCCTTCACTGTACCAAGAAGGCCGGCCTGTTTCCCATGCTTGGTTTCCTAGGTGAAAAGGAGAACAGCCTGAAGACAGATGATTATGGCCGAGACCTGTCTTCCGTCCAGACTCTCCTTACCAAACAGGTCAGGCGCGGCCCGTTCGTTGACTGAAATGTATGCAGATAGTACGTCCTGGTACATGAATGGTGGTCGGCGTCTGTCCCTGAGAAAGGCCCTAAGGGCTCGGCAGTGAGCAAGGTCGTTCTGGTCCTCGAGGAGCTTCCAGACGAGGCATCTGGGCTACAGGCTGACGGCACCCCCAGGGTGGAGCGCAGCAGAATGTGTTGTGGATTTAACCCCCAAGAGCTGTCTGACTCGGTTTCCAGCAAGCAGGGGCTGATGTGGGAAGTCTTCCCAGAGGAGGGGCATCTAAGCTGGGGCATGAAGGGCAAACTGCAGGTGGTCGGGGGGGAGGCAGGCGTTCGTCCCGGGCAGAGGTAGTGGGGAGAGTGGGGTGCACTTAGGGGACCCCCCATACCTCAGTCTGCCCGGGGTGGGCAGGAGGATGTCAGGAGAAGGTGGGGACTCGGGACTGACAGTGTGGCCTGGGCAGCTGGCTGAACAGACCCCGGTGCCGTCGAGCCGAGGCACCCCGAAAGGGTGGCTTCTAGCCTCCCCGGCGACCCTGCAGATTGGCACACCGCTCTTTGTTCCAGGAAACCTTTGACGCTGGCCTGCAGGCCTTCCAGCAGGAGGGCATCGCCAACATCACCGCCCTCAAAGATCAGCTGCTGGCCGCCAAGCACGTTCAGTCAAAGGCCATTGAGGCCCGGCACGCCTCCCTCATGAAGCGATGGAGCCAGCTTCTGGCCAACTCGGCCACCCGCAAGAAGAAGCTGCTGGAGGCCCAGAGTCACTTCCGCAAGGTGAGGCTGGGCCCCTGCGCAGCTCCCCGGCCCGGCTGCGGGGAGTCTGCCGGCAGCCAGCCGCGGGCCCTTGGCCAACGAAGCGGCCGGGACGGACTGAGGGGAAAGGGTAGCGAGGGAAGAAAGTCAGAGGCCTTTTGAGACATGGAAGTGGGAGCACCCCGGCTTGCCCCGGCCGCCCCGGGAACGACCGCTGCCTTTCCTATCCTGCCTCGCGGCCCTGACGGCGTCCTGATGATGCCCTGATGCAGGCTGCTCTGCTTTCAGGTGGAAGACCTCTTCCTGACGTTCGCCAAAAAGGCCTCTGCCTTCAACAGCTGGTTCGAAAACGCCGAAGAGGATCTGACCGATCCCGTGCGTTGCAACTCCCTGGAGGAGATCAGAGCTTTGCGCGAGGCCCACGACGCCTTCCGCTCGTCCCTCAGCTCTGCCCAGGCCGACTTCAGCCAGCTGGCCGAGCTGGACCGCCAGATCAAGAGCTTCCGGGTGGCCTCCAACCCCTACACCTGGTTCACCATGGAGGCCCTGGAGGAGACGTGGAGGAACCTGCAGAAGATCATCAAGGTGCGCGCCGCCCCAACCCAGGGCCGTCAGCCGGGGCTCAGGGGCCAGGGGGCTTGGACGGGGTGGCGGCCGGCAGCCCACAGCAGGCTGTCGGTCAGCCGCTTCCCCTCGCCTCTTGCCAGAGTTCTTGGGGGGCCAGTTGTGAGCAGCCGGGGAACAGGGTTCTGAGCTCCCCGAGTGTCTCCCAGGCTCCTCCTTTGGGTTGATGTCAACATCTGGTTCTCCCCCACAAAGCGATGGTTTCTGGTCATGTTCAGCATCCAGAAACTGAAGCTGTAGGGCGTCTAGTCCGCCCCGAGGGCAGGCCGGCAGGAAGGACGGGCCCGCTGACGGCCTCTCCTCCCTCTGGGCGCTAGGAACGGGAGCTGGAGCTGCAGAAGGAGCAGCGCCGGCAGGAGGAGAACGACAAGCTGCGCCAGGAGTTCGCCCAGCATGCCAACGCGTTCCACCAGTGGATCCAGGAGACCAGGTGTCCGCCCGCACCCCCGGCGCCCCCGGGCCCCCGGCTCGAGCGGGAGGGGAGCTCTGCGGGAAACTGGAAGTCACGCTCGCAGGAAGGAAAGCAGGGTTAGGGGCCCACCCTGGTCTGGCTCGAGCTAGGGCGGGTGGCGGGTGGGGGGTGGGGGGCAGTTCTCGAAGGTACTTTTCCTGAAGGTCAAGTTGCTAGGTGTGCCGCATTGGGTGGGACCGTGCGCGGCCGGTGGTCAGTCCTAGGCAGCGCCTCGGTGATACACAGAACAGAGTCGAATGCAGTGGTACTGATGTTCTTGGTTTTGTCTTTTCTTTCTTGTGTCTCTCTCTGTCCCCCACCTCCCGACTGCTGCTGTCTGGACGCCACCTTGTCTTGCGGCTGCTTGGATCCCATCTGCACAGAACGTATCTCCTCGATGGGTTAATATTGTCTTCTTGTTCCTCCGGGCTCCTGGTGTGGTGGTGTCTCGTGTGCTTGTCCCCCTGCCCTCTGTCCCCCTGTGGCCTGGCTTGCAGAGGATCCCAGGATGGGCCTTCCTGCCCCAGGCGGGCTGCACTTCCCCCGGCCCACCCTCACCCCAGCTCCGTCCCCATCACCCTACAAGGAGTGCGTGTCCTTGACAGCCCTTGACAGCCCTTGACAGCCTGAGGTCTGGGGAGGGGAGCCCCTCCCACCTTCCTGTTCAGATTCCAAGGGTTCTCTCAGGTAGGGGATGTGACCAAGGCAGAGGACCAGAGCTAGAGTCCAGAGCCTCTGAGAAACCCCACGCTGTCCAGCCATTGGGATTCGCTGGATCTCTCTTCTGCCTCTTTTCCCCGTGTGTCCAGTGGGACCATCCTTAGCTCCTAGGAGGTCATGGTCATGGAGAGGAGATTCAGCGGGTGCAGTGAGTTCCCAGCTGTGCACTGACACCCCCCCCAGGCGCACCCCTCCCCCCGTGTTCCCAGGGGAAGGGGAAGAGCATCGTTTGTACTAATGGCAGAAGTGCCTGCAGTTTAGAGCGATGGAGAGACGAGGCTGGGGAGGAGCCCCCCGGGAGGAGCAGGGCGGCCCTGCCCAGTCCAGTCCTGGGAGCGGCCCCTCCTCGAGGCTTTGGCCTCTCCCAGGCCCGTGTAAAGCCGGGGGCGGGGGGGAACCTCAGTGGCTGAGACTAGCGCTCCTGGGGTCCCGCAGACGGGTAGTTGGGACAGCTGAGCGTGGCACCAGGAGAAACAGGCGCGCGCTGACGTGACCACCTGTGCTGAAAGCAGCCTGGCGGGGGCGGGGGGGGGTAGGATTTAGGGATCACAGTTTCTAGCTGGAGTTGATTAGCCAGCTGGCCTCCACTCCCCTCCCCAGCCCTGTGGCTGTGTCTGCCGATCTGGTCTTGTCGCCGTGGGTGCCATGCTCCCTCCCGGGTGGCTCCTCCCTAGCCCTGTCCCGTCTTGCTTGGCCCCAGTGTGCGCTGCCCCGGGGCCGCTGTGCTCCCTGCGGCCGGCGGCCCAGCCCCACCAGGTCCCTGCCTGGGCGCCAGGTGGCCCTGCCTGTGCACCACCAGCTTGGGCCTTGGGCGCGTGTCTGTCTCGGTCTGCTCTTGCCTGCCCGTGCCTTCCGTGTATTCATTTGGTTTCTTTTCTTTGACTAGCATAGCGTATCGTCGGGTCATTCGTGTCTATCAGTATGAAGTTGGGGATGATCTGTCTGGAAGGTTTTTCTCCTCTTATTTCTCTTCTTCCCTCACTGTGGTTTTACCAATGCACTCTTGACTTCCCCAGGCGGCTCCGCTTTCTGACTAACCCACCGCCCTCGGCCGCTTGGGAAGGAGGGCTCTGTCCTCCTCCCACTGCCCTGGCACCCAGCCTCCTGGCCCCGGGTCTGGGGGAGGGGGTTGCTTTTCCTTGGGGGACATGGCGTGACTGTGAGTCTGATCTGCTGGGTTACAAGGAAGCCTGGTGCCTGGCCTTGCTCAAGCACTTTGAACTTGGGGAAACGTCAGAGCTAACCCTGGCTCGCTGGGTGCTGAGAGGGTAGGTTGGGGCACCCGTGGGTGCAGGGGAGGCCGGGCTAAAATCCCACCAAGGACACGCGCACAGTGTGACTCATCCCTGCACGTAACCCCGACTCGTTTGTTGTCTTCGTTCACTGGTGGCCTTCTGTGACTTCACACTGTGTAATGTCGGGAAGATGGAGGCTCCCCTGGGGCACCCCTGCTCTTCGGAACTTGGCCCTGGGAGCCCCTGGCCCGGAGGGTCTCGTGGAGCCTGAATCTGGGGCTTAATTGCAGCCGCCTCCCTCCTTTAGGCAGAATTAGAGTCACTTTTAAAACCCAGTCTGGTCATGATCTCTTAGCATCCTGGCTCCGTGTCTGAGGGGTCATCTGACTGCGTCTCCTCCACGGCCGTCACACCCTAGAATGTGGCTCCCCTCCTCAGGAACGTGCAGGAGACCCCAGGGATTTCTGGGGTTGGCTCTCCATTTGTCAGCCTTTCTCCCCAGTGGCTGCAGCGGGGCGTGCTGTTGGGCCCGAGGCCCCTCTGTCATGCCGTGGAGCAGCTTCCACTCTGTTCCTCAGGTGCCCTTGAGGGCCTCGCTTGAGTGAGGGGCCAGGTCCCAGCCTGGCTGGGCCGGAGGAGCCCCATGAGAGAGGGTCCTGGCCTGGGAGCAGGCTGGGTGGGGCTCGGCCCAGGCCCCCCAGTTGGCCCGGGGCACGTAGCCCACCACGTGGGGCGGCGGCGTCCTGTCTCCACGGCAGGACAAAGACTGCCCGCCCTCCCGGCTCCCGGGGCCACTTAGGAAAAGCCAGCCAGTAGCAGATAGCGGCCATTGCCTCGATGAGAGAGATTCAGAAGAAGAATTCCAAGACAGCAGGCACTGTTATCTGGGGCTAATTTTGAGCTCAGATCAGGCCCTCCTGCCTCACTGTGCTTCTGTGTTTAGGTCCTGCATGGTGGAAGAATCTGGGACCTTGGAATCCCAGCTCGAAGCTACCAAAGTAAGCGCCCCCTTGGTTTAAAGTCAGGCAGGAAGTAGGCTGGGTGGGTGCTCTTTTTCACTTTGCATAAAGCAGCACAGGACCCCATCATTTTAAAGAAAGTCTTTTGCCTCTGACAGTTGCCACGTGGCGTCTTACTTGAAAAAGAGGGTCCTTTGGTCCTTAGTGTATAGTCTTGCTGGCAGTCTGCCCCCGGCTCGCCCCTCCCGCCGTCCTGCGCAGCCCCGCAGGCCTCGGGCCGGGAGGGCTCTCAAACGGGCGCTCGGGGCCGGTGACCGAGGCGAGAGACTGTCCCCTACACCCTCGCTCCCCCGCCCGTAGCGCAAGCACCAGGAGATTCGAGCCATGAGAAGTCAGCTCAAGAAGATTGAGGACCTGGGGGCGGCCATGGAGGAGGCCCTGATCCTGGACAACAAGTACACGGAGCACAGCACCGTGGGCCTGGCCCAGCAGTGGGACCAGCTCGACCAGCTGGGCATGCGCATGCAGCACAACCTGGAGCAGCAGATCCAGGCCAGGTCCGTGCCCCCGGCATGGCAGCCCCTGCCCCTGCGCCCCCCAGCGTCCCGCACTCACTCTGCTGGGATGGAACAGTGTGCCACCTGCTCACTCCATCCTGTTCTTCTAGGAACACAACCGGAGTGACTGAGGAGGCCCTCAAGGAATTCAGCATGATGTTTAAGTGAGTATGGCCTCCCCGGGCACAGGGGCGGCGGGCTTGGCGCCGGGACCCGGGCTGAGCAGCTCTCCGATTGTGCGGCAGACACTTCGACAAGGACAAGTCGGGCCGGCTGAACCACCAGGAGTTCAAGTCCTGCCTGCGCTCCCTGGGTTATGACCTGCCCATGGTGGAGGAAGGGGAGCCCGACCCCGAGTTCGAGGCAATCCTAGACACCGTGGATCCAAACAGGTGAGCTGGAGGGAGGGTAGTGGGGGCGGCTCTGCCTCCGCATCCTGCCGCATCCTCCCGGCTCACCGCGCCTGCCCCCCTCCAGGGACGGCCACGTCTCCCTGCAAGAGTACATGGCCTTCATGATCAGCCGTGAAACGGAGAACGTCAAATCCAGCGAGGAGATCGAGAGCGCCTTCCGGGCCCTGAGCTCCGAGGGAAAGCCCTACGTGACCAAGGAGGAGCTGTACCAGGTCCGGGGCTCTGCTCCCCTGCCCTGGGGATGGGGCTGGAGGTTTCCTTTGAAAAGTAAAGGCCGAGGTCGCCCAGGGGCACAACGGTCGAGCGTGTCAGACCTCCGTTTGGAGCGCTCGGTTGGGGGCAGGCGTTTCCTCCCCATTCAGCGCTGACTCCCTGTCCGCGGCCCCTCGGAGAACGTCCCGCTCTCCCTGAGGCTGGGGCCCAGGCGTTCCTGCTGCGCCCCCCGACCCCGGGGCCAGCGGGGCTGGGCTGACGGGCGGCCTCTTCCCTCCAGAACCTGACTCGGGAACAAGCCGACTACTGCGTCTCCCACATGAAGCCCTACGTGGACAGCAAGGGCCGCGAACTCCCCACTGCCTTCGACTACGTGGAGTTCACCCGCTCGCTCTTCGTGAACTGATCCCGCCCCCCGCCTCGCCTGGACCGCGCTGCTTGCCCTGCCGTCGCCTTGCTGCATGTCACCTCCTCTCCGTGCCCACGTATTCGTGTCACTCTTCACTGTAAGCTTATGTCCACTTAGCTTGGGGATAAGACTTAGTAGAAAGGATGCTTCACTAAGCCACTCCCAGTCCAGTGGCACTTGCCCTGTTGCTCTGGGGACCCGGATTCCTGTTGTGAAGCCAGCGGCCCCATTCCGGCTCGAGAAATCGCAGCAGCTGGCTGGCTCCTTTCCTGTTCGCCCCGCTCCATTGTTTTCACGTAAAAGACAAATAAATGACACTCCCCCAGACGCTTGTGTTGTCTTCATTCAGCTTCCACGAGACATCCACAGCTTGGCACAGGTGTGGCCTCACCCCACCTGCCCCCCGATTTGGGGACACTCCGCCCCACACACACACACACAGGGCCCTGCTGTCGCTTCACTGTCCTCAGGTGGCCACCTCGGCTGCGAGCCGTGCCAAGTCCTCGGACTCCCGGGGTCCTTGCTCCGTGAACTCAGTGCTCAGCTGCCACACCTTTACTGTGCCCTCGGCGTCACCAGCAGCCAGGAGCTGAGTCTGCTGCCGATTAAATTCCAGACAGTAGACCGGGCTTGCATCCTGGGTTTGCTTGATTGAAACCGTGGGTTTCTGGGAGCTTTTCTGGAGATCAAACAGCTGCACATCACCTGCAGGGGGAGAGACTCATCATGGGGGCGAGAGCCTGGACAGCACAAAACAAAGCCACTGCCTGGCACAGCAATCCTCCCCCCACGTGCTGTCTCTCCCCAGCTCAGAATTCCAGATCCGCTGCGCCCGTGCGGCGTAAGTGAATGTGAGTCTGGTGTCTTCTTTCCTACCTTCCCCCGAAGCAGCTGCAAACACCAAAGGGCGCACTGGGGACCAGCGCACGGCAAACAGGTACTTGTGGGACAGCTGCAGCGAGGCCAGGGGCTGGGCCTGCAACGTGGAGTACAGGTGGATGTGGCCGTCGGTCCCCGCGCTCAGGAAGAGATTCCTAGACAGGATGCAGGGGAGGAGTGCTGGGTGTCCCGGTCCACTGGGCCTTCCTGGACCCCCCCAAACCAGGGATCCCCTTAGGGAGCGAGGGACCGATGCCCTGGACCCAACCACCAGCGCTCTGGGCACAAGGGCTCCCGTGGGGGAAGACCTGGGCCCGGGACAGACTGCAGGCCCTTCCCGCGGTTCTGTGGGACCCCCTCGCCCTCCCTGTGCCGGGGCGCTGGGGCCTTCTCTACCTGTGGAAGGGGGAACAGCTCACGGAGTAGATGGGGCCACCGTGGGGGGAGAAGGTCAGCTGTGCCGGGGCCCGCAGGGGCACAGAGCTAGGCGTCCGGGTGAGGGCGGCCTCTTCCGCGGCCAGCGAGCACTGGAGTGGGAAGCCGCCTTCCGTGCCCAGAACAAAAAGGCTGGGGTCAAAGCTGGAGAAGGCCACCGCCGTGGCACCCACCTCGGTCTCTCCCCGGGGAGGCTGTGGAGAAACGAGCGGCGGGGCAGAGCCAAGGGAATCTGGTCCTACAGTGTCCCAAAGGAGCCCGGTCCCTCAAGTGGGCGCCGTGGCCCAAGGAGGTCAAGCGGCCCATGCCGCCTGCCCCCCCACACACCCGGGGCTCCTCTCGGAGGCCCTTCGGGGGCCCCACGTACCTTCTTCAGCCTGGTGTGCCTCGGGAGCTGCTGCACGGCCAGGGCGAAGCCCTCGGTCAGCTGCAGCCGGCCCGCGCCGACGCCCTGCCAGAGCAGCACCCTCCCGTCCGTGGCCACGCTCAGCACCTGGAAGCGGTGGCCGTGCCGGGGCTCGGGCCGCCAAAGCACCTGGGGCACCGGGATGCGGGACTGAGGTCAGGGAAGCACTGCTCGCCCCCCCCCCGCCCCCACCTCCCAGCAAGACCAACGGTCACCCTCCTGTCCCCCCCCTTCTAGGAAAATGAGAGGGAGAATTCTGGGGGCGGCCCAGAGCCACCTCACACACCAGCGGGCAGTGCCCAGGGTCCTGAGCTCCGTCCCTGAGCCCGGGCAGGCCGGGACAGCTGGAGCCTCTAGTGGCAGCCTGGGGGGTGGGGGGCGCAGCTGGGGGTGGCTCCTGTCGGGGGCGGGAGGGGACTCATGCCCTGGGAGCTCTGAGAACGCTGAAGGCAGCTGTCCAACTGCCAACTCCCTGCTGACCTTCTGCCAAGCTAGGCCGAGTGGGCGCCCTCTCTCCTGCTTGGCCTCCTCCAGCAGCAGGCCTGTGACAGCCCAGCCCAGCTCAGGCAGAAGGGGACGGTGACTCCCCGACCCAACCGGCAGCCCACCGCTCTGACCTGGTACACGGGGTCTGTGTGTGTGTCGTCAGTCAGGCCCGTTCGCCAGAGCAGCGGGTCCTCGGGATGGCTAATGTCCCACACGAGCACCTCGCCGCTGAACAGCCCACCTGCGGGACCAAGCGGGCCCGGGCAGAAGCCGACTCACCCAGCACCCAGGCTTCCCGGCCAAGTACCAGCCCTTCGCCCCCACGGAGCCAGGATGTGGAGCCACTGCCCCAAAACCACCTTGAGGTCTCCGCAGCCCAGCACCCTGCCATTCCCCCCAGCGCAACCCCCTTTCCCAACACATGGGGCTCCTACCACCGCTGACATCTTCCCAAGGGTGACATGGGCACTTGGGCACCTGGTCCTGACCAGGCCGTGCCCTTCCACGGCCCACACCTGGACAAGACTCAGCGAGGACCCGCTTCCTCTTCCTCCAAGCTCCGTACCGGGCATCCTCGGCATCCTCACCTGAGCCCAGGGGTCAGGGCCGCCCAGTCTCTGCTCCCTCGCAGCAGACCTGCCCTGGCTGTGTCCCGGGGGTTGAGGGTCCAGTGCAGAGCTCAGCTCGGGCCGCCCTCTGCAGGGGAGGGGGTGCGGGGCGGGAGCAGACGCGAGGCAGGCTGAAGACTCACCTGCGACGTGGGACGGCTGCGTGGGGTGGAAGGCCAGGCACATGACGGCGCTGGGCACCTCCACCACGGCCGACGGCTGCCGGGAGTTCAAGCCTCGCCTGTCCAGGTTCCAGGCACACACGAAGGACTTGAGTGTGCCCCAGTCCCCGTCGTCCAGCCTGCACAGGGACGAGGCCGGGCCTCCATCTCACCTTGTTCCTATCAACTGACCCACCGTTTCCGCATCACACCCAGACTGTACTGGGTACTGAAGGGGCGCAGTGTCTCCATGGCACCCCGAGGCGCGACCTCTAGAGAAGGGCTCCCGGAACCAGCGAAGGGTCCACACGATGGCAGGGTGGGGAGCCGGGGCCGCAGCAGACAGCTCGTGGAGCAGAGGCAGCAGGCCCCGGCTCACGGCCCTGTGCGGACAGGTGGGCACCGGGACTCCTGTGCTCTCAGCCCTCCCTCCTCTGCTCTTTCCAGCCAAGCTGGTGCCCAGGCAGCCTTGAGAATAAAAAGACTCCCAGAATGGCCAAGCTCCAGGCCAGCCCTTCACCACCCAGGGAAAAAGAGGCTTAGACCAGGCTCCGAGGGCCTCCCAGTGCCCTGCAGCCACCACGGCTGCCACTCACCGGCCGTAGGCACAGGCCACCACAGAGCCGGTGGTGTTCCAGGAGACACTGGTCACGTGCAGACCCTGCCTCTGGGCTGGGGGGTAGCCCAGGGTGTGCAGACAGGTCACCTGCAAGAGACAGACCGTCCCCAACCCTTAGCCCAGAGCCACCCAACAGGTGGCCTCACAGCCACCTCAACAAAGCTACACACAGGCCTGGACCTCCCGAGCCATCGGGTCCGCTGCCCAGTCCTGGCGAGAAGCGCGGAGGCTTCGTCCAAACACCACTCCTCAGAGGAGACTTCCAAAAGCCCAGAAGAGGGGCGCCTGGGTGGCTCAGTCGTTAAGCGTCTGCCTTCGGCTCAGGTCGTGATCCCAGGGTTCTGGGATCAAGTCCTGCATCGGGCTCCCTGCTCAGTGGGAAGCCTGCTTCTCTCTCTCCCACTCCCCCTGCTTGTGTTCCTGCTCTCACTGTGTCTCTGTCAAATAAATAAATAAAATCTTCAAAAAAAAAAAGATTCTCCCTCTCCCTCTGCCCCTCCACCCCACCTCTGGAAAAAAAAAAAAGCTTGGCTTCTGGAACTGGATGGTAATGACAGCTGTACAATGTGACTATGCTCGGTGCCACTGGGCTCTACACATAAAGGCCTGGCATCTTCCCTCTCAGCCCAGAGCAGGCTGGCACAGCACATGAGAAGGCTGGCCATGCAGGCCGCCATGAGCGACCAGCCCAAGGTTTCTGGGGCAGGATTTGCAGCATAGATCAAAACTCCTGTGAAAAGCTGCACCCCCCCGACCTCACACGACCCCATAGAAAGAAACTATCCAACGGACAGAACCTAAAACACGTAAAAAGCTATATGGTGGGAACCCTCACACGTCGCTGGCAAGAACGCAGAATGGCACGGCCGCCGTGGGGAAACAATCTGGTGGTTCTTCCCAAGGTCAAACAGAGGCACCCTATGACCCAGCAATTGCGCTCCTAGGTCCACACCCAGAGAACTGAAAACACATGTTTATCCAAAAACTTGTACAGAGATATTCACAGCATTATTCCTAACAGCCAAGATGCCCACCAGCTGATAGATGGGGTCCCTCCCTCCAGGGCAGGAAGGACTGAGCCACAGGAAGGAAAACGGTGACAGCAAGCACCACAGCCGGCCTCACGGACATTCGGCCACGTGGAAGAAGCCAGTCACCAAGACCCCTCGGTAGAGGATTCCATCTATGTGAAATGTCCACAGCAGACAACGCAGAGAGACAGAAAGAAGAGTAGCTGCCCGGGACTGGGGGGGGGAATGAAGAGTGACTGCCGGTGGGTACGGGGTTTCTTGTGGGGGTAATGAAAATGTCCTAAAATTGTGCCCATGTTGTACAACTCTAGGAACATAAAAACTTATTGAAAAACTTTAAGATTTTATCTATTTATTTGACAGAGTGAGAGAACACAAGCAGGGGGAGGAGCAGAGGCAGAGGGAGAAGCAGGGAGCCTGATGAAGGGCTCCATCCCAGGACCCTGGGATCATGACCTGAGCCGAAGGCAGACGCTTAACGGACTGAGCCACCCAGGCGCCCCTACACTTTTTTTCTTTAAGATTTTTTTATTTATGGGCGCCTGGGTGGCTCAGATGGTTAAGCGTCTGCCTTCGGCTCAGGTCATGATCCCAGGGTCCTGGGATCGAGTCCCGCATCGGGCTCCCTGCTCCTTGGGAGCCTGCTTCTCTCTCTCTCTCTGTCTCTCATGAATAAATAAATAAAATCTTAAAAAAAAAAAAAAGATTTTTTATTTATATCTGATAGAGAGTACACGAGCGAGGGGGAGGGACAGACGGAGAAGGAGAAGCAGACTCCCCACTGAGCAGGGATCCTGACATGGAGCCAGATCCCAGGACCCCAAGATCGCGACCTAAGCCAAAGGCAGAGGCTTAACCATCTGAGCCACGCAGGTGCCCTGGAACTGTACACTTTAAATGGGTGAATTATATGGGATGTGAATGATATTTCGATAAATCTGTTATTTAAAACCAAAACGTATAGGGGCGCCTGGCTGGCTCAGACAGCAGAGCATGCAACTCTTAATTTCAGGCTCATAAGTTCAAGCCCCATGTTGGGTGTAGAGATTACTTAAAAATAAATAAAAGAAAAGAAAAAAAAAAGGAAGAAGAAGAAGAAGAAGAGAAAAGCTGTACAGTGGGGTAGGAGGTGGAGGGAACTCAAGAAAACCTCTGGCGTCTCACCACATTCGGTTTCCTGATCTGGGTTCTGGTTCCACGAGTGTTTTCACTTTGAAAAGCCACAGGCCTGAAGTGGCAGTTTGTGCGTGTTTTTACGTCACAGTCAACTGATGTTTACGTCAGAAATAAACCGTATATATTAATTGTCATAACTGCAGCAACCAGTACAACTGCAAATCTGAAGATGAGACTACAAACTACAAAGTGGGAGAAGCCGGGACGACAGGGCAACTCCACACCATCACCGTGGCGGGTGCAGAACAGCACGAAGAGTGAACAGACCTGCATGGAGAACACACCTTGACAGACCTGGCACAAAAAAATACAGTGTGCGGATGAAACATCCGGTGGTTTTAAAAGGACAAGCGTGAAGTCTCTGTAGCCACCTGACAGCACAGAACGGGCTTTGCTCCCGACCAGAGAAGACCCCCAGATCGGTCACAGTGATGCACAGCTGTCCACACACATGTACAAAACCAGAGGAAGGAAACAACAGAGCGAGGAGATCAGAAGTTCCGGTGGGAGTCCCCATCTCTTATCTCCGATTTCTAAGTGTTCCCCAAGGTTGTCACATTGTTTTTGGAAATCTGAAATCACGGCTTCTCTCTGAGAGCAGCATCCCAGACTTTCCGAGCTGCTACAGCAGGTGCCAAGGAGAGCGACGAAATGTCAAGGCCAACATCTTGACAGCAGGGGACACAGAAAAACCCCACATCAGCCAAAATAATAATCCCACTATGAGGAAATCAACAAAAAACGGATGCAAAAGAAGAAGTGAGGCAGAGAGAGATTTGCTGACACTGTTAACATGACAGCAAACTCGGAGAGTTCTCTGCCCGGCCTTCTGGGGACCGCTAAGACGCGGCCTTCGGGACAGCACCGCTCTGAGCGTGCCGCCCAACCCCCCGCCTGTGCGCTCGTTTCCGGGGGAGACCTGAGTCCCACAGGGGACTCAGATAAAGGATGGCATGTCTGTGCGGCGGGACACAGCCTGGGGCACCTTTATAGGAACTGACATGGAAAGCTCTGGCAAGTGAGAAAAGTCATAAAGAAAATGTACAGTGCTTTCCACTTTTTGTTTAAAATGTTCGGGGTTGGGGGGGAGCGCACCTGGGAGGCTCAGTCAGTTAAGCGTCTGCCTTCAGCTCAGGTCATGATCCCAGGGTCCCAGGATCGAGCCCCGCATCGGGCTCCCTGCTCAGCGGGGAGCCTGCTTCTCCCTCTCTCCCTCTGCCACTCCCCCTGCTTGTGCTCTGTCAAATAAGTAGTAAATAAGATTCTTAAAAAAAAAAAAATGTTCTTTATGACAACACTAGTAACAATGCTGTGTGTGAGTGAAGCACAGGGAGGAGCTAAAGGCCCGGGAACAGGTTTTCCCTCCCCCTGTCTACACAGTATATGCTCTGTGTTTCTGTAATGCCCGGATTTGTTATAATGAACACATATTGTTTTTGTAGTCAGAAAACAGGTATTTGTAAAGGGGGAGAGAGTAATACACACTTGGACCAAATTAATCCATAGAAATGGGGGAAAGCACTACTAATAAAGAACAAAAGCTTAACCTCTCTAAATGCAACTGTAAAATGGAGGATCGGCAACAGCGAGGAGAGAAGAACGTGCTGAGCTCTCACTGTTCACCAAGCCCTTCCTGTGCAAACATTCGGGGCCTGCCCACTTGGTGGGGCCTCGGCAACTGCTCTTCAAAGTGATTTTGAGGATTTCCCTCAAACAATCGACTCTCCCATGCCTTCCAGTGACTTGGTGGGAAGCAGGCAGAGGAGGAGGAAGACGGGCTAGAGCGGGGCTTATGACTTCTGAATACATAGTTACTCATCTGTTTCCCGAGGAAGAAAGAATATATAAAAAAAAGTTTGGCCCAGGGCGCCTGGGTGGCTCAGTTGGTTAAGCAACTGCCTTCGGCTCAGGTCATGATCCCGGAGTCCCGGGATCGAGTCCCGCATCGGGCTCCCTGCTCAGCGGGGAGTCTGCTCCTCCCTCTGACCCTCCCCACTCTGTGCTCTCTCTCTCAAATAAATAAAAAAATTTAAAAATAATAATAATTAGGAAAAAAAAAAAGTTTGGCCCAGAACTCCACGGCTCTGCAGTCAGTCGGTCGGTTGAGGGCACGCAGCAGTGAGCAAGCAGGCTGTCCACAGGGGAGGCTGAGGCCCAGCTTGGAGCCAAAGCCAAGAGCCCCCCATTCATTCAGAGCTCCCTCATCTCAAAGCCTGGGCTGTCTGTGTAGCTGGACGCCTGAGTATACAGGGTGACAGCTCTGAACTGAGCCTTGGCTACACTGAAGTCACGAGAGTATGGTAGTGAAACCAGACCAGGGCTCACACCCCAGCTTGGCCCGTGACAGCTGTGTGACCGTGGACAAGTCACTTAGCCTCTCTGGGCCTCCTGTATAAAATGGCGATCATGCGAGTGCGGCCTCATGCAGTCATGCCGAATGAGACAGCACAGAGAATCCTCACCGTGTGCTGCCTGGGGAGACACATTGGCAGTGGAGAGAATTCAGTCCAGAGTCCGACTCCCCAGGTTCAAACCTTGCGTCTACTGCTGACTAGCTCTGTGTGAACCTGGAAAAGTCACTTCAGCTCGGAGTCTCCCACCTGTACCTCCCAGTACCTCCCAGCTGTGAATGGAGGTAACCACACACCTACCTTTTGACAGCAGGGAAGGCTCAATGACTCTTTTTCTCTTTTTTCTTTTTTTTAAGATTTTATTTATTTATTTGTCAGAGGGAGAAAGAGCACAAGCAGTGGGGGCGGCAGGCAGAGGGAGCAACAGGCTCCCCCCTGAGCAAGGGGCCCGATGCGGGACTTGATCCCAGGACCCTGGGATCATGACCTGAGCCGAAGGCAGGCGCTTAATGACTGAGCCACCCAGGCGCCTTTTTTTTTAAGATTTGAGACAGAGTGTGAGAGAGAGAGCACAAGCAGGGGAGGGAGGCAGAGGGAGAGGGAGAAGCAGGCTCCTCGCTGAGCCTGGAGCCCGATTTGGGGCTCCATCCCAGGACCCCAAGATCATGACCTGAGCCAAAGGCGGTGGCTTAACTAACTGAGCCGCCCAGGCGCCCTCGGTTATTTACTCTTAGGAAGCTCTACAGCTGGCAGACCGCGGGAGCTCCTGAATGCTGGTATTATCATCACCATTATCAGTATCTGGGCAGTGTACAAGAAGGACTGAAAACGGGGCCAAGGCTCAAGCTGCGGCAGAGGAGGGGGCGTCCCAGGCCGTACGGGCCCGTTCCCTACCATCGGCTGCTGCTCGGTCCAGTTCACCTCGAAGCCATCAAAAGCGTGGCTCTGCCAGTTCTTGTTCAGCTCTCGAATAACCATGGCCTCCACCCTCCGAAGAAAGGCTGCGAGCCGGGGGTCGTCGTGTGCGGACACGGACGGCGCGCTGACAAGCACCGGGGCCTCCGTCTGCACCTCGGCATCCACATGCTTCCGGGTCTGCGCGGCCTTGTCGGCGGTGGCAATGCTTGCTGTCTGGCAACTTCTCTGCAGAAGGTCACAACCCAGCGGTCACCACCCAGCCTCGCCTGCCCGCACCCCCTCCCGCGCTGCCGCTTACCCTCAGGCCTCTAGGCCTCCCGTCACCCTGTTGGCCCCAGTCTGTCCCCTTCCTCCTGTAACCAGCCCGTCTTCCAAAGGACGAGCCCGATCCATGTGCCGTGGGTGGAGATGACCCCTCAACCTTGCTATGCACCCTGGGTCACAGTGAGAGGTCCAGGGGCAGCCAACACGCCCCAACAAGAGCCTGACCCAGGACCTTTGGTGACATTATGACACTATTTGGAGGCGATGCAGGAATTTTTTTTTTTTTTTTTTAGACGTGCCCTTGTGAAGATACTGACAATAACAAGAATCAGGTCATATCAGAGCGGGCAGTGGTCACCTAAGCCAGCACACGGGAACACCTCAAACCTGGCCCCAGCAGAAGGCCCCACAGCATCTGCATCTCCCTGCCTTGGCAGGCACCTTCCAAACCACCCCCGTGATCAAAGGAAGCAAGTGTGTCTGTGATGAGCTAGTTGGTAGAAGGCAGGCTTCTCCCCAGCTGCCCCTTTTCTCCACCCTGCCATCTGCCTCCAATCCCTTGTCCCCTCTTTAGCTGGGCACAGGGGCAGACAATAGATCAGCCTCTTATACGGACATGACTCACCATTTACCACGTGAGGGGCCCTCCACCACACACCATCGTCTTACAAGAGGCTCTGCTCACGCGGCCCCTCACCAGTAACCTGAACTCACAGGGCAATGACAAGGCCCATACCCCTGTGCCCCCTACTCAGGCTTGGGGGGACAGTGCTGGGCACCAGGCCAGCACTAGTAAGCCTGAAGGAAGGGAGCTGGCCCCACACAGGGGCAGCTCTTGCTAGAACATGAAACAGCTATCCCCACGTTCCCCTTCACATTCCACAGAAGTCTCCTTGCTTATCTACCTCCCATTAAACTGTGAGTTCCTTCAGAACTTCAGAACCCTGTCTGATCTCTTTTTTTTTTTTAAAGATTTTATTTATTTATTCATGAGAGACAGAGAGAGAGAGAGAGAGGCAGAGGGAGAAGCAGGCTCCAAAGGAGCAGGGAGCCTGATGTGGGACTCGATCCCAGGACCCCGGGATCATGACCTGAGCCGAAGGCAGACGCTTAACCATCTGAGCCACCCAGGCGCCCTGATCTCTCTTTATATCCCCAGCACTTTGCATGGTATTTGGCACGTGGCACAAGCTCATTTATACTATATATATAGTATAGTGTGTATATATATCCGTGACGCTATGTTATATACACGTGTATACTAATATAACACACATTATACACATTACATGTTATTTATATACATCTCCATTATGCTCCACACACACGCACACGCACACACATTATTTACTGAGCATCCACTTGCCAGGCACTGTCTGGGTACTATGGATACAGCAGAAAACAAAATGTGCAAGATTCCTGTGCCTAAGGAGCTTCCACGGGGTCGGGGCCACACAAACAAGAAAACCCATCGACTACCTATGTGCTAAGTGCGGCAGAGGTGTGGGAGAGAAGAGAACGGCTGGGGAGGCCTCTGGGGGAAATGGCACTTGAGCCGAGGTGTGAAGGACAAGCAGAGAGCTACAGGAGAGGGGCCTGGACAGGGATGGGGGGTGGGGGCGGCAGGGAGGCGAGAGCAAAACCTGCCAGTAGAAAAAGCCCCACACTCAGAGACTGGACAGCAGGCAGCACGCCCAGCCGCAGAGTGTGAGGAAGGTGGCACACAAGCAAGGACAAGGCCAGGAGGTGTCTGAGAGCCAGGACGAGCGGGCCTTTCTCTCGCTGTGTGAGCCCCAGGATGGCCGTAAGCAAGGCCATGCCTATCTGGCTGCTCAGGGAGAAGTGAGGAGCAGAGAGCAGGTGTGACAACCAGTGGATGTGATGGCAGATTCTGGGAGAAGAGAACACAGGAGTAGTTCTGTTGGGCCTCCTCCAGACTGAGATGCCACCCCACCATCCACATGGAGGCGTCAAGGAGTCCCGAGGGCGGCCAAAAGGCACGAGGCTCTGGAGAGCATCCAGCAGAGACGCAACCTGAAGCCACAGCACTGGAGGAGTCCCCCAAGTATGCACATTGAGGAATTCATGGACGGGTACGAGGATCACAAAGTATACAGGCTGGGGCGCCTGGGTGGCTCAGTCGTTGGGCGTCTGCCTTCGGCTTGGGCTGTGATCCAGAGTCCTGGGATCGAGGCCTGCATCAGGCTCCCTGCTCAGCGGGAAGCCTGCTTCTCCCTCTCCCACTCCCCCTGCTTGTGTTCCTTCTCTCACTGTGTCTCTCTCTTTCAAATAAATAAATAAAATCTTAAAAAAGGAAAGAAAGAAAGAAAGAAGGTATACAGGCTAAGAGACGGTGGGTGAAAATCATCGAAGTTCCGGAAGCCACGATGATGGTAAGAGTGTCAGTCACTAAGTGCTCACTCAGGCACTGTCCCCAAAGCACTACCCGTATCTTATTCATGCTCACAACCCCTATGAAGAAAATCCTACCTTTGCATTACTACTGTTGGCAACCGAGGCACAGAGAAGTAACTCACCCAAGGTCACACAGCACACAGGTGATCGCAGTGGAGCCTGAATCCAGGTAGTTGGACCTGAGATACCAAACTGTGTCTCAGTCAATGGTGTTCTCACCCAAACAGTCCAACATACCTGGCCATTGATCACATCAGATGAACGCAGAAAAATGTTTCTAAAAGAATGTTAACCCAGTGTCTTAATGTAAGACAAAAATGTCCACAAGAGACAGCGAGCTGTCACCTTTCCAGCTATCTCTCTTAATATTTGTTCGATGCTTATCTATTAAGGCAAACAACAAATGTCAAAACACTAGGGAAAATTTAGGGAGAAAAAAACTTAAAACCAATGATACTAGGGGCCCCTGGGTGCCTCCGATTGTTAAGCATCTGCCTTCGGCTCAGGTCATGATCTCAAGGTCCTGGGATCGCGTCCCACATCAAGGAGCCGCTTCTCCCTCTGCCTGCCACTCCCCCTGCTTGTACTCTCCCTCTCTCGCTCTCCCTGGCAAATAAATAAATAAAATCTTAAAAAAAAAACAATGATACTGCACCCGCAATTTTTTTTTCCTGTGAATTGGCAGGAAACCACCATTACTCTCTTTTCCCTCTGGGATACCAAAGTAGGTTCCCATGGTTCAAGATCCAAGTATCGGGTCTGACCCTGACCCAGCCCATATCGTCTGGGGATGGAGCCCCAAACCTCCAGAAAGGAAGGGCTTGCTCAAGGTCACCCCATATACATCAGTGCCTTCCGTGCCAGGCAGTGTGTGGCTGGGCTGAGGCTACCATCTGAGATGTCAGGGAAGAAGTCAGGGCCGAACGGGATCCTTGCTTCCTAGGCCTCGGCAGGGCCAGGAAGGAGAGTGTTAGGGATGCTGGGCTGCAGCCTACCTCCCACACCTCAGAGGCAGAGGTGCTGCAGGGGAAATGGGGGGGGGTGGAGGGGGCTGGGGCCAGACTTTAATCACACATGAAACAATTCCCAAACCAAGATCACCAGGCTCCATGCTCTGGAGTCTGAAGCCCCGGCGACCTCCAGCGGAGAGAATAGCAATGGGACAGGGAGCAGAGCCCAGGAGGAGAGCCCAGCTCTCCCGCCCCAAGAGAGAGCCTGCAGATACCCAGAATGTCAGGACTCCTACCCAAGCCACAAAACAGGCCCCAACACCAGGACTGCAGCTTCTGACTGGATGGGAAGTGGACACTAACCTAGGCCGGGCCAATCAGGGAAACTCATGACGGAGGCAAAGATTTCACAAGTTAAACAGCACAGGCCTGGAACTGAAACTTGGAAACTCTGGGCCTCGACACTTAGCCACTGCCACAGTGCGACCAGGAGACAAGCAGAGACAGGCCTCAGGGGATGCATAGCAACAGCAGAGCTGAGAGGCAGACAGCCCCCAAAGCTTCCTGGATTCCTCAGGACCAGCTGCACCTCCATGCAGAGGCCCAGGAGACCCCTGCATCCTGAAGAGAAGTGCCTGGCCGGTTTCTGTCACTTGCTATCACACTGAACCCTAGGAAGGCTCCCTGACCCCCAGACCGCCACCCCTCAAGGCCTCACTTCTGAAATAAGGGGTCTCTGGCTGGCATCTAGGACTGGCCGATCAATTTCAGGAACAATCATAATGACAGAGGAAATGGCCCCACTGGGTCCAGTGACCGGCCCCCACCCCAGGCCCCAAGGGGTGTGCTGACAGAATCCTGGGCTCTGCCCTACCTTCAGGGTCAAAGACTGAGCAGTCCAAGTGTAACTGTGCTGATGTGTGACTCAGTCGTTCAGAAACTGGCCAGCTAGAGAAATCCATCCAGGGGATATCAATATGGGGCAGGCCAACTTCAAAGTCATGAGTAGAACAGTCACTTTCGCATTAAAAATATACATTCTAGGGGCGCCTGGCTGGCTCAGTCAGTAAAGCGTGTGACTCTTGACCTTGGGGTCATGAGTTCAAGCCCCACGTTGGGTGTAGAGATAGATATGGGGCGCCCGGGTGGCTCAGTTGGTTAAGCATCTGACTCTTGATTTCAGCTCAGGTCATGATCTCAGGGTTGTGAAATCAAGGCCCCCATCTAGCTCTGTGCCAGGCGTGGAGGCTGCTTAAGATTCTCTCCCTCCGCCCTTCCACCTCCTCTCTCCCTCTCAAGAAAAAAAATAGACAGACAAAATATATACATTCTAGATCTCCTTGACTCTAGGATGTACTGATTATAAAGCCTTCCAACTATTCAATAGTAGCTCTTCAGGAAGAAACTATATTAAATACACAGTTCATTTGTGAGACACACCGAATTTTAAGATCTGTTAAAAAGGCTGGGGGTGGGGGTGTGTCCTCTAATCGAGGAAATACATCACCATAGAAAGAATGTGTGTTTGAAGGTCTGGGATGATGTGCAGTGAGAGGTCCAGCCCCCATTACTCCCCTGGGTAGTAACCACCACCAG